TACTCGAATCGCTGACTGAAATCGGCTCGACCATTCTTGTATCGAATAAACTCCTCCGATTTCTTCCCATTCTCGTCCTCCTTCCATTCTTGTTTCAGTACGTTATTTTCAAACAGATACATATCACCAGTTTCGGAGCACAATAGAAATTCGTTTTTGTGTTTTCCCTGGAATCGCTGAACAGTGTATTTGATTCCACCCTTGACCAGGGTTTCATAATCGCCAAGTGTCACATATCTATCCAGCAGATACTCGGTGAAGCGAATTTGAGTCAAATAGGCTATTCATTAGCATGGAAGATAACACAATACATTCTTCAACCATTTTATTTGACCAAAATAAAAAAATAATGAGAAAATCCAAAAGTACACTCAGTTTAATATCCAGTTTAAATATCACCGAAACACAATTCTATTTTTCTATTGGAAATTTAGGAGTATGCATACACGGTGTAAGTCGAGCTAGAATAGCCTGCTTCTCAAATTCCAACAAAAGTAGTTCTATTTGCTTCTCGATTTTTCATATTTCTTCTATCAAATATGTCTTGCTATTTTCAAAGTGAATATTCAAAAATGAACCATTATCAATTGAGTGGTGGAGCATTCGATAGGAAATATGTCGAATCATTGCAATTTCACAAATACATTTCATTGTTTATTTTGGGAAGCTTTGTTATTTTTGGTTGAGTATTCACACACATTAATAGCTTATACAATTATATGAGAAGTGAAGAACGCTATTTGGAATATGTTTTTGTTTTTCGGAACACTTGAGAATAGAGTGTCTTTGAAACAAGATTTCCTTAGCTAGTCTGTGCTTTCAACACTATTATTGGTGTTATCAGAGCTTTGTAGCTAGTTCTAAAGGAGCACAGTAGAAAACAGTTTCAGTAGTGTATTTCGCTATTTCAATATAATCCACCGAAATAATAGGGCTCAAGAATAGTTTTGCTTTGGCTTGTCGATCCAACTGGTTAAGACACTTTCGATTTGCTTCGAAGGAATTGCCTATAATGTCAGGAAAATGTCCAAATTGTAGGTTTTGATGGTTCCAAATGGACTTCGTGTATTTTCCATAAATTCCACATCTAACCTCATCTTATATTTCTAGACTAGAAGATTGTTCATATGAACTGTAGAAAACAACCTTTTTCTTGTGTTGACCAAGATTATGTGTGCTATCCATGCTTGTATCAAATGAATTGGTTTTCTATACGTAATATTAATAATTTTCAATGTTTCTATGACCAATTGTCTTCCAGTCTTTTTTCTACGTAAATTTTGATTTGTATAATGTTTACAGTTTATAATTATAGGTATTCGTATTGATTGTGCATAGATTTGACATAATTTGTCACTCGCTTTCCCTCAGTGTGTTTCACTTCTAAATTATGTCTCTACAGAGTCAATTCGTTTGATTCGTGCTTATAATCGAATTCCTATTATCTTTGAAACAGCAATAATCACATTTCTTCCTACTATCAGTAAACTCATTCTACAGCTCAGTCTGTCGTTGTATAACATGCACACATTGATAATTATGATGTGCATCATCTTCCACAAACAACCCAATCAGTTAGTTATTCATTGTTTTCCTTTGGATTGATTGATAGCTATTCATTCCATATCTAGAGAATAGAAATGATAATGTGTGGAATCAATCGAAAAGGAAGAAATCACTTTTCACACTTGGCTACTCTATTGTGTGGGTTGCATCTTGGTGTTGGAAGTGGAGGTTTGGCTAGACGAGCCTTTCGTTTTGCTAAGCCCTACTTTATTTGATCTCCCCAACAATGCCCAACCACACTCGAACATGTCATTCAAATACGATGGAATTCCAATCCTCTTTTCAATCCATTATTTCGCTTATGTAATGAGTGGTAACAGTAGAAAGTCATTGAGATATTACAATTATGTATTGCTGCTGTGTTCTAAAACAATATGTTCTCGGTAGATGCAGTAGAATCATTAGCACAATGCTAGCAAATCAACCATCAACTCACAGCACTCTATTATTATTATTATTATCAACTAGAGTCGTTTGGTTCCTCGTTCTGGATTATTCTGTTCATGTTTCTAAATCATTCCAACACCCTACACACTCTAAATCTACATTTTCCTTCCTTCCTAAACACATTTTCGATTCTCATTCAAATCCTACAACGCTTCAACCATTCCACATCTCTACAATTCCATCCATCCATCCATCCATCCATCCATCTTCCAAACCAAACACCGCAACCATTTCTCTCTCTCTCAGCAACTGCCAAATCGGTCTGGATCGTGGAAACGTGGAAACATCGCGACCCACGACGCACCAGGCGTGATCGACGAGGTGGGCGCGGATGAGCGCGCCGGTCACGTCGTAGGCGAAGCGGAAGCGGAAGCGGAGGCGGAGGCGGAGGCGGAGGCGGAGGCGGAGGCGGAGGGGCTGGGTGACGGAGACCACGGTGGCGTTCTGCGCCCAGTTGGACAGGAAGAGATCCAGAGAGCCCGGTCGACTCTGCACACCTTCGTAGGGAGCCACGGACCCCACCCCATCGCCCACCAGATTCCTGCTCACTCACACCCACACCCACACCCACACCCAGAGCGAACCGGTGAGCGAGGAGGTTGGCTCGCCGTCCACCACCAACACCCAACGAATTCCGACGTGGCCATCGTGGACACTCCGAATTGCCTGCCCATCCACTCGGCACTGCCCACTTCGCTCGGGACGCACTCCAGCGTGTAGGAAGTCGCGGGGATCCCACCCTCCAACACGTCCCACACATCGCGTCCCGCGGGGAACCAGACGGTTCGGAGGAAGGAGGAAGGAGGAAGGAGGAAGTGGCGGGAGCGCGAAGCTCGCACGTGGCGGTGCAGAGATCATGGAAGGATCCGGTAATCGCCATCGCACAGTCCCACTCAATGCCCTCCGCCTGATTCCACACACACCGCATACAGAACCGCGGGGAACGCCCCATCCGCCGTGCAGGCACGCTCGATCACGTGTCCCTTGCTGCAAATGGAGGTGGAAATGGAGGTGTCCAGATAGGGCGTGATGGGAATAAGCGTCCGCTGGACAGAAGCAGGGTTGTTCATGTTCTTCCATTCGCAGAAGAGGTCGCAGTACGCCCTTTTGGAGTGGAGTGGAGTGGAGTGGAGTGGGATGGAATGGGTGCCGCGCGGCTCCTCGAAGATCATGCCCGCAGGGGTTTCGGGGAAGCCTTCATCGCGGGGCACGAGCAGTTCCTTCGCTAACCAACCGTTCTGTCCGTTTCGCTGCACGTCACGTCATCGTGTACCCGCTAACGGAACACTCCTCATTGCACATCGAGTTCAGAGGCAGATAGATAACCGGTAATTGGGTCGAGGCCGCGCCACACCATCCCCAATCATCCACCACGCTCCCAAAGCTCCAATCAAAGCACTCTCGCACCACACTTCCCAATTCCTAGCAGCTCGCGGAGCCCATCGCACGGCCATCGTCTGCAAGAAGTCGCTCTTCGCTCCGCAGAACCATTGCCACGCATCCTTCTTCTCCTAGTCACCCTACCCCACGCAATACGCCCTTCGACTACACACCTCCCACTCCACTCTTGCCCCTTCCAACAGCGCATCCACATCACCCGCATTCCCACGGGACCATCCATCACCCTGTACTCTCAGTCCTGGTTGACTGGCTTCTCCCACTGGGGATTCCAGTTCACTGGGCAGGAATTGATTTTGCCAGCTACTATTATGTAACACATGCTAATAATCTGACCTTCTTTTTCGTACATTCTGATATGCCTAACTTAGTGTTTCCTTCAATTCGGCCTTTTTGCTGCTCTGCAGATTTTCAATGCAGGATGTTGTTCGCTAATAACACACAACATTCTATCCTATACTCGAACTCCACTTCTTCTATGTTCTACTGGCCATTGTTCTTTGCAGTTCAACAGAAAAAGAATCATTCACCTTTCAGAATTGCTGCTTATACTAGCAACTACCACTTCAGATTCAATGAACAGGTTTCATTTCTACTTTCTATTTCACTTGACTGGATTCTACATTATACCATTCAATAAACAAATCGTAATGCAATGCAATGCAAAAGCCCCCAATTCAAATCAATCACAATCATCATAACCACAATTCCCTTTTTCTATTTAAGATTACAACAGTGAACAAATTGATAAAACACATGATAGTATCTGCAAGAAAACAAGGAGATGATTCTACACAAATCTAACCCATATCTGGCTTCTTATTCACATTAAGGTATCTAACTAAGAGTTCAAATCATATTGTTACGGTTTCAACAAATTTATAAGTGCGTGCATCCGATTTGAAATGTCCAACACTTGCTTATCAGGACAGAAGGACAACATCTCAAAATTCCAGATCGAACTATTCACTTTCTGCTTTTCACCCATCTTCACCTCGTCATTCAGAGAAGTAATCACTAAATAGATTCCATCTCCCATGTTCCATTGATAACCGCTCTGTCGACGACTTTTTATTGGCCTATGCATCAAAAACAAGTAGCATTCGCAAACATCATTCCCATTTCGCGCAGTAAACTTGCCCCCTGCTCAGAACAACGATATTCCGCACCTGCCCCCATTCGCAAATTATTCTTCCGCTCAGGAGTCATTCCCCGATACCGTAGGCTATATTCTATTCCTCTCTCTGTCAATCGTTGCGCAAATTGAACAACCTCTTCGTCACGATCTAGATCTTAGTTCTCTCCAATTACACACACTTGCTTTTATATAATAATATGTCCGAACCTCCTGAAACTTTAACTATTCGTAAACTTGCTTTCCATGAGTTTTACGGGCTTTTTTCCCATATCAACGATCTCGTTTAGTATCCTAGACAACGGATATATGTGTTCCCGATTCTATGGTTCAACTTGCATTGAAGGGACTCACGACCGTGCCTTTTATCTTCAAATACTTTGTCCGTGGAATCTCATTCATTCCGGATCGCGATGCAGCACGTTTCTAAACAAACACTGTGATAGAGTACAAGCTATAAAATGAACTGAATTTGATCGTTGGCAGTATTACGGTTCAGAATCATCCGCTTTACCGGCTCCACCCGAACACTCATTTCGTTCGCCAAGTTAAACTTCAAATTCTCCTCCAAGTTAACATACAGCTCCACATCCTCGTTCTGCATCACTTCCTGGTACGACCTCTTCACCCCCGTCGCACAGCTCGGATTGAATCGACCAAACGGAGCCAGTCCCCCATACGCCACGTTCTGCGAAGGCAGCGCGATCCCAGGCAGCGCCACTCCCTGCACCGCGCTCGCCGCCGCCCCTTCCTCCCTCCTCCGAGCCGCGAAGTGCTTCCGCACCGCCGCTACGGGCAGAGAGGACCGGTAGATTTCGTGGGACGCATCTCCGTAGAGCGGCTTGGGCTCGCGCACGCGATCCAGCAGAATGCGTTGGCCACGCCCTACGCGGCCTCGTCTAGGCGTCACTCATCCTCCAGACTCCTACAGACGCGTTTGCAGGGGCTGCGACGTGGGGAAGGCGAGGAAGGAATGCGTGTTGAGCGTGCTCGTGTAGAAATGCTCGTAGTTGTCCTTCGCCGCCACCGGCAACAGCCAGTTCGTCCCCGACGTCTCCGTCGAGCCCGCGCGGTTCACAATCAGCGCGGGCGTCTCGTAGGAAGGCTCCTCGCGCGTGTCCTGCTGCAAGGCAGAGAGCAGCTGGAGGTACTGCAGCTCGTCCGGAGAGAGGCGGGGCTGCGCAGTGGAGCTGAGCGAGGCGAGCTCGTCGGGCTCGTCCATCATCCCGACGCCTCCGAAGTAGTTCTCGCCGAAGGAGTGGCTGATCATGGGGTTGAACGTGCTGTACGCGTTCGCCGAGGACGTGGTGGAGAGAATGGAGCTCGTGCGGCCCTCGTAGACGAACATGTCTTTCAGCTGCGCGTGAGCAGGAGGAAAAACGACCCACGTTGTAGGTGAGCGGACGACGACCCGAGTGGTTCATCTTCAGATAGTGCACTTCCACAACGGTCTCGTAGATGTACATCAGCTTCTTGAGCTTGAGCTGCTCGCGCGAGTGCGTCAATTCGCAGAGCTCGCGACCGTGCTCGAGGTTCGCTTTCAGTTCGATCAGACGCTCCAAAATCTCTTCGTTCGGCTTGTTCTTCTTTCGTAATCGGTAGTGCTCGTCCTAGTGCTCAGCGGATCGGACAGAGCCTAACCTTGCAGCGAGGACGAAACACCAAATTGGGGTTTGGATCGTTGACGTTGGTGAGCGGCCAGTAACGCCGAAGCAGCGGCTTGCCCAGTTCTTTCCGCTTTCGTTTCCAATAGTCCAGGATGTGTTTGCAAACTTCGTGAGAATCCACTCTACTGAACTGAAGCTTCTGGAGAAACAATGATTCCAGAATGTCCTATCCCATTAGCAGTCTCGCACGACGGCCTACGACAGTCGGCTCCGCCTTGTACTCGCCTGCATACTTGTCTGCACAATCGAGCATTCGCTCGAACAGGTCCAGCGAAAGCTTCTTGGATTCCGGCGCCTTTTCACCGTAGAGTTTGTGTCTCCGTAACCACAGCTACAGGGTCAGCACACCCTCAAAACAACCCACTTCATCGTGAGAATCAAGGTTGTATTCCACTTTGTTCTTCTCCTCCTCGACCGTCGGCGGAATGTACTTGATATATCCGTTGGAACGCTTAAAGGTATGAGATACCTCCGAGTCGTAATTGGGAATCATTCGGATAGGGGGCTTCGGAATCGAAATCCGGGCCTTGTTCATAAAGGATGTTTTCTCGGGCGACTACATCAGGGGTGAGCAAAAAGTCATCAAAAAAGTCAACGGGAAAATGCCTCTCATTTTCTCCTTCAAAAAATATTCAATCCAAAACACGAGGGATGGCAATACCGGTTCCCTGGTGCGTAACAAGCAAAGGCAAGTAGAGAGAATGCCACCTACACAGTCCTCTAGTTCATATAGATTTGCTGTCACCCTATCTCCGTTCTCGCTTATAAAGGAGCCATCAGCAGCTAGGTGATAAACTCGTATTTGCTTTTTTAATTGAAGCGGTCTTGGACGAACAGCAATATGTCTCATCCCGCGGTTATTTGCTTTTTCAAATTTGAATCGTTTAGCTGTTCTAGTTTAAGAGTGTCACAAAGTCACCCACTATTCGATGGAGTCACAATAGAAAACCTCCGGAATAAGAACAAAAAAGCGAGGTAAAGGTCGAAAAATAGATGAGATCAACCACCATTCATTTTGGAAGTGGATCGTTCAATCGACGAAATAAAATATCCATTCTCTCTATTTACTATTCTATAATACGAACCAAGCCAAACACACCATTATTTACTCTAGATAATTTCAATATTATTGCAACTCATTGAACGCAGTTCAGCATTTTGCTTTCCCGTCTTATTCTCCATAACAGTCAACTGTTATACTGGAATAATGGTTGCTAGCGTGTCTTGCAAACAAAATCTGGCCATAGAAGCAAGATTTCATTTCTGTTAGTTCCTTCGTTTGGGGTATGAGAAAACATTATGCCATGTGTGGAGCCATGAGTTGACCCTAATATTTAAATATGGGCATACCTTCGTATTGGAGGGATGATTCGTTGAGAGAAACCATTTTTGTGTTATGACACCTTGTTCATAGCTAGTATCTATGGACATTTTTCTTATTCTACACTCCTTGTCAAGTCAGTTCGAACGACTCCCAATTCTTACAAGGTTATTATGTGATTATAGCCTTCAACAATCCATATTATTATCATACCATCACCAATACTTAGTACGTCAGGGAAAGGCATTATTTCCAAGCAATACAAAACAATGTTATAGGTCACTCCACCTGTTCATTTTCATATCATATCGCAAACCAAGCAACCAAACTGATCGATACCAGTTCCTCAAGTAGTCTATTTGAAAGACAACTATCAGGAGGGCATGGCGCAACGGTAGCGCGTTTGATTCCAGATCAAAAGGTTGGGTGTTCGAATCACCCTGTCCTCAATTTTTCGATTCTTTTTCTCACTATTTACCACTTGTTTTGTTTGGCTGAGTTTCCATTGTGATTGATTGGAGATTGGTTCTCAGGATTAGATGTCAGAGGGAGTAGAGAAACAAACTCCTTCCTCAACTCAGGATTCTGAACGTGTACAAACACTATCTTGATTTTTGTTATATTATAGAATACAATGGAAAAGAAAGCTTCAACAGGGAGTGAGAAAGAAGCGATTGACTTGTCTGTATCGGTTTAGAATCGATCCTTACGTATAGCTGAATTACGACGCGGATTCTATGATAAACCGAATATTCCAATTGGAGAATCCTCAGTTCTTTGAAAACATGGTTCCTTTTCTGTGCCAGGTAGAGTTTTTTGTTTCTATTAATCTTTTGCAGAAGCGAAACTTGAACATTTTGCTTGAGTATTTGATAAAGGATTTCATCCCTGCACGATCGACCTCGGAAGATTACTCAAAGTTTACAGATGCTCGTTGTGAAAAGATTAACGTATTTCAGGTTGATCGTCGTGTTTCTTTAGTCCTTTCTTATGTCGAACGTTGGGAACTTGAGGAGTTTATTGAACGCAACAAAGGATTATATCATCTCTATTCTATTTCCCGTCTTTTTAACCAATAACACGAACGAGGATGCCAACATCTACGAGCTTAGTTTGTTGATCAAATATCTCCTTATCATGACTCCCGATCAGATTTTCCCATACATCAAAAGCATCTATGTACTCTCTACCTTCCCTCTCTTCTCACTCAGATCCGCACCATGCTGTCGATGGTTGCTCAAAACCGAGCGATTTACGACATCCTGGTTTTATTGCTGAGCTATCCGGAGAAGCGCGCCAGTTTACTGGATAACGTTATTCAGATGAACGTAGACGAAGAGTCCTCGGCCACAACGCCCAGCGATTCCGAATTCAAAGAGAGCTACAATGTACCATGTGGCTCGGAATGCCGAGTAGATTTCGCCTTCGGTGCTTCGCAGACACATCGCGTTGCTGCACCATTTGCATCTTATCCCGTCGATAATCATCGTGATTACGTTGAGAAACGGACCAACACTCATTCCTAGAAGCAAGGAAACCGATCCAGAAGCGAGCGACCTGCTCTGCATGCTTCTCTCCGATGTGCTTCACAAATACAGCTACAATGAAAAGTACATCACGCTCATCCGAGTTCGCCTTTTTCTCTCTCCTCCATCTCTCTCATAGGAGCTTCAAAACGAACAGCTCATTCACTGCATTATGATGTTTCTCAAAACGCGACCGAGCGCTTACATCTTTCAACTGCTCGAAGTTTCTTTTTCTTCTTCCTCCTCTTCCCCAGCAAATTCTCTACCTCATCTCCGTCTCCGAAATCCCCGTGGCTCCCGACAATTACGTTCGGTTTGGCTTCATGGTGGACGACTACGTTCGCTTTCGACTCCCTTTCGATGCAGATGGACAACGAATTCGCCGAGCTCGCGCCCTCGCTCTACTCCAACATCTCCATCTACGTGATGTTCCTCATCAAGCAGCTCTATCGCCATCTCCCCTCCACTGTTCAGCTCGTTTCCGCGCTGGACGCACGCTTCCATCTCATCAACACGTTCCAACTCGGCGATGTGAGTCGGCCGAATTCGCTCCGCGATGAATCCGATTTGCATTTGGGCGCGCTCCCCGTGTTCCTCCTCCACATCATCTATTACATCCTTCTCGGGTTTTACTGTGGGGCAAAGCGGAATCGTCGAGTGTAGGCCGCAGTGGGGAGAATTTCTCGATCGTTCGCGATATCGACGAGCTGTTCTGGAATCTTCTGTACGCTCTGCCTTTCATTTATCCTCGATTCAACGTGCTGCACGCGTATTCATTGCAGAGCCCTGCGACGTAGATTGCTTCGGAAGTTCCACGAGCTCTTCATCTTCAATCAGTACATCAACGTGCTGCTTGTATTGCTGGCTTTGCGGGTTGATTGCTAGTATGTATTGCAAAACACTCCGTTCACGCAGTATTGCTATGAAGAGTACTTGAAAAAGGACAGGTAGAGCAGATGGAATCGGTCGATTCTAGCGAACTGCGGGGACATATCCGCGTCGAGATTCACCAGCTACGCCTTCAAGCTGATGTGATTGGGATGAAAGAGAAGAAGACGGAGGAGGAATTGCAGCTTGTGCAGGCGTTGCAAGAAGACTATTATTACCAGAAACTACTGCCACTGGTGATTTGCGATTCTGCACGAGAGGTTTATCTGTGTCAAGGGAAGAAAGTACTTCAGAATGGAGTCACGACAGATGTGTTGGAGGTAAGGAAGGGATTTGGGTGTTGTGTAGTGTTGCTCTGAAACCTTGCTGCATGAAGCGAAAGCCAGCAAATGTCTGGATTTTGGGTCGGACTTTGCGAAACAGCTTGGCTTTAACTACTTTTGGTGAGTGGAGCGAGTTTTCTTCGTGTTTCTTTTTGTACGAGAATTGTAATTTGTTTAGTTTACGATTTGGATGTTTGTTGAAATGCTCGCGAGCTCTGGAGAGAGAAATGCTTTATTCCAACTCATTGCATTCTGTCGAAATGGCTTGCTTAATCCATTCTTATTGTGATGATTGTATATTCTCTGTTTTGCCATTTTTCTAGGAATTGGTGAATTATCCAACAAGGAATCAAGGTTCCTTCTGAGTAGATTTTAGGTAAGTGTCTTTTCGTTGTGTGGCTTGCTTTTCTGGGAAGTCTTCTGTTTGCGTCCTGAATTGATGTGTGGAAACGTGGTTTTGGCTTTCCTAGATATTTGACTTGAGGGATCGGTCGGACTGTCGTGTTTTGATCGTTTTCATCATTTCGAAAAGGTTCTAATCGTTTCTAGTTGCGTTGTGAGTTTTCGTTGTTAGTTTATCTGTTTGTTGAATAGATCCAGTGGAATCAACGTGGTAGTTCACAACAAACCTGTCACTCTACAGAGTTTAAAACAGCTACTAGTTTGGGCATGTCTTGCTCCATTTGCTTTTGAACCTACATGAAATCACGAACTCATTCCTACTCGTTTCAAAATCTCCCCAGTCTTTTCCACCCTTTTCTCCAGTAGTTCCTGCTTTTGCACCAGCTCGTCCAGCCGGCTCTGCACCTGAGAAACCTTTTTGCTAGTTTCGACGAAATGATCAAGACGAGCTTTCAACAGGGGAGCCAGCTGCAGCAAAGGCTCAACCTCAGCGACTCGCTCATACACCTTGCGGGTCTCCAAAACCGATTTGTTCATCTTGTCAAGGGTTGTGTGTGATTCTGCGAAGATGGTGTGGAATATCTGTGTGACGCGCTAGCATTCAATACAACAAGATTCGTTCGCTACCTGCATGCTGGTAGAGATAACAGCCGTCTTTTCATACAGACTGGATAGAGCGGAGTGAAGAGCATCGACGCGATCGGAGAGGGATGAACTATTCCAGGGCACTGGGTCCGATGGATCGGAAAGAGAGAGGAAATGGAGCTCCAGAGACAACAAATCCTGGGAGAGAGAGAATAGTAAGCTATGCAGTTGGTTGAGATCCGTGTTTGAGTTATCCACAAAAATATCGACTGTCGTCGTAGTATCCGAAGAGTTTTCCTGTGCTTTTGGAAACGGAAGAGAGGGAGAAGAGGCGTCCAAGGAATAGATTGATTCCAAAATGGATTCAATGCGGTTTCGAAGCTTTGTTACTTCAGTATCCAAAACTAAAAATCAAAAAAGGTGAGGAATACTACACTTCCTCCAAACTGAATTCTTTTCAAATGAATTTAATATTTTTGCGTCTAATCGATTCAGTTCATGTCGGTTTTGAATAAGAGAATCCATAAGGTTTCCATTCTCTCTAGTTTGACAAAGATGGGAATGCTTTAAGAACGAATCTATTGCTTCATTTTTTATTGCTTTCGAATTGCCAAAACGAGTATCAACGGACTCTGATATTGCGTTCTAAACGAATCACCGAAATACAAATGGATTTTACGAAAGTAACGACTCTGTTTCCTTCTTGTTGAGGATCGAATACGAATACCGTTGGTTCGTCCATGTCTTGTCAAAGAATATGATGGTCAGCAAAATTCACTTGAGAATATGAAGGATTATGATGAAGTGGTGAGTGGAAATGATCGGTGTATGTGTATGGAAGAAAGGGGAGAAGGGTAATACACTGAGGTAATGGAAATGTGTAAAGACTTTTGGTTTTCTTCAGAAGGGAACACAGTAGAATTGGTATTATTGAATTGGCAGAAATAAGTGGGATTAACTCTTTGAATCCTTGTTAATGAGCAGGTGAGAATAGTATAGTATGTGCGATATAGATAGAGCCGCTTTGTTTTGTAAAGCAGCAATGATCTATTGCAATATGGATGGATTGGTAAGAATTCGCTTTTTTATGACTGGAGGAATGTTTCCGCAGAATGCATAAAGTATTCCTCTGTTACCCTAAAAAGACTTAATGCATAGAATATTGGCTTGATAGTCAAGCAATGAGTAAGGGAATCGAAGAGATATCCACAACAATGTAATATCAACTACCTTGTTTGTTTCGATGGAATAACAAATTGGTATGTATTTGAAAACGTTATACTCACGAGTTGCAATTCGACAGAGGAAACAATTCATTTGCATCACACTATAGAATTTAGTTGCAACAAGTTCATGAAAATGCTAGTGAATGTGTCTCCATCGCTCATCTAGGTTGCGATACCTCGATTCCACCATCGAATAACAAGCCAAATAAACTCACACTCCCAATGTACTATACACATACACAGAATCGCATGTTTGATAAACACAAACAAAGAAGCATAGTACATACTACACAACAATAGCAGCGCATATTACTTCTCGTTACGAATACGACGAGCAAGCTGCATATCTCTTGGCATAATGGTCACACGCTTCGCGTGAATAGCGCAAAGATTCGTATCTTCGAACAGAGAAACCAAATAAGCCTCAGCAGCCTCCTGAAGAGCCATCACAGCTGAACTCTGGAAACGAAGATCGTTCTTAAAATCCTGTGCAACTTCACGCACCAGTCTCTGGAAAGGAAGCTTACGAATGAGCAGCTCAGTGCTCTTCTGATATTTGCGAATCTCACGCAAAGCAACCGTTCCGGGACGATATCGATGAGGCTTCTTCACGGCTCCCGCAGTAGGAGAGCTTTTGCGGGCAGCCTTCGTTGCCAATTGTTTACGAGGAACCTTTCCTCCTGTACTCTTACGGGCAGTTTGTTTGGTACGAGCCATTCTTAGTTACTACAAATTCGTAAGCATTTCGAACATCATCATCGAAACATCAAAACGAGCAATCATACTCAAAGAGGTCCTTCACAAGAACCCCAGCACAAGACAGAATCATATAGGAAAGAATAGACTTACACTGAGAATTCAATTAAAAAACAATGCCTCAAAGATTGATCTCCAAATGGATGGTTTGGAGAAGCAAATCCGAAATTTGCATAGCAGTCCCTTGGATTGTTTAGGGAAGAGGGTTATACACTACCGACCGAAATGATCGAATAATGAAAAGCGCATAGATATTTATTAATCAAATTCGAGAACCAAATTCCGACGTGAATGTTATGGACAGAGGGAGTTTCATTTTGAAGTATTACTGGTATGCCATTGTTTGCTCGTGATTCCATTTTCATTTCAGAAAAGAAATGGGTAAGCTTATGCAATTGTTTTGTAATTTAAATTTTATTATGATTAGGCACTCTTTTTTTTTGTTTGTGATTGTGTGCCATTATTATCGTGTTTAATCTACTGGATGCTTGCGTTACAATATATGACTCAAAACTTTTATTCTATTACAAATTACCCAAATCATTATTATGATACTCTTTCCCTCCCATTATCAAAAGAACCTCGTTTTGTATTTAGAAGTATCTTCAACAAGGCTAAAAACATTTCATTTCGTAGAATCCACTCTCCATTTCATTTTAGGATAGCGGTCTTTATTTCTCATTGCGTATTCATCATATCGGAGGCAGGATTCCAGATCATGTCCGTATTTTTGTATATTTTATGAAAAGGATATTGTTTTGCTTGTTTTCTCTGTTTTTTATTCGAATCTGCGAACTTGTATCTAAAATCTTTGAAATGCTGCTGCATTTTTAACGTGAGAATTGCAACGAGTTACAGTTATCACATTTCGATCCGCAACTCACTCATTCCTACTTCTATCCCTATATCACAGAAAGAATGGCAACGCTTCTTTTCAAAATCATTGCGAGTAGAGAGAAGAAAAGTCAAAATATGTCAAAGCCAACAGAGAATAATCATGAACACATTCCTAGTTTCTACTCATTTGAAATGAGTTAAATTTATGATCTTGCATGGCATTTCTTTGTAAATTCTCTCGAAACATCTAGTCGATGAGCAGTTATCAACTCTTACTCTTAACACTGAACTCTTTCAGATGAGCACACGGATAGTAGGGTTTCCACCTCTTGTCGCCAACCTTTACTCGACGTCCGGGTAAACGCACTTCTTCGATATTGGGCATGTCTAGTTATGAGTTATCTCTCGACTGAATAACTTTCCAGTGTCATGAAATGCAGATAAAAGAGTGTGTAACCATTCGCAATAAAACGCTTTAATGAGGGAATGTCTTTTGTTCAAGAGGAAATTAGAATTGTTACTGCGCATTGTTAGATTGTAGGTATTTCCAAAAGCTCCTGAACCAAGAGATATATGCTCCAATTCAGGCAAGTCTACAAACAAGGGAATGATTATTCCATACTCTCTATCACTGTAACTCTTGAATTTTCAAATACGTCAACTCCTAAAGTCAAGGACTTGAGTTTGGGAAGATCTATTCATCATTTCAACGAATAGGTTCTAACCATGAATGTGAAAATAGCTTGCGCAAAAACACTTAGAAACATATTCAACGATTCCGATTATTATTATCTCCAGCGATGGAAGATGGGATAATTCAAATATTCCAGAATAACTACTAAAACTGTATTGGCCAATTTTAAGATATTGCAATGAATCGCAATTCATCAAGCGGAAAGAATATTGAGCATTCTCTCTTTCTTCTGTGAATGAACTAGTTCCAATGAAAATCATATTCAACTTCGATAGTCCATTGATATTAAAAGTAGTCACATTCTTGAAACTATCATCGCCTATTTCCAAGTATTGCAATGATTCAAATCGATCGAAATCCAATACTGCTCCTTCATTGCAACTATTGGATGCTACTAATATTCCTGTTACATTCTTGTTTAGATTTTCAAAGTCACTCCAATTATTCACGACCGATTTGGGGACAGCACGTCCACCCAAGTAAGGGGAAACATCTAATATGGAATAACTCACTCTCACACTCTACTCTTTATGGTTGAGGAAGTCACCGATTGAAATGCCATAGGTAGTGTTACATCATCCGCATTAGGAATATCTTCATCCAAACACTCCTCCTCAACTACCTTCCATCACAACAGTGCGTTGATAAAGAAAGCTATGGTGTTCCGATGAGATTGTTTTCAGATTAGGGAGATCTATTGTTCGAAATCATTTCTGTCGAATACTCCGCATTGTCAACGAGCAGAGTGGGTTATCAGCCTGTCCAACAAATACATCACGGCCAAGCTTGATTGATGAAAGATTAGGCAAATCTAGTCGTCATAATTCGCAGTCTGGTTGCTACTTTCCATTACGGTTGTTAGGGACTGATTGAATGATCCGTCTTCAATCCAAAGACTTTCAAGGCTAGGGCAATCTACAAGAAGAAACCAGCAATAATTCCTACCTCGAACAGAGAAAGAACTACCTATGAAGGTGTAGGACCATAAATAATAATAGATAAAGCTTAGAGAAGTGAGAGCAGGGCAATTTGACACCTCAAAGTGCCCAAAATCAGCAAAACAACCAGAGCGAGCAGAGAAAGATTCGAGTGCATTGCAATTGATAATACGGACTGATTTCGTCTCATTAGTCTCAACTGGCTTATTTCTATGTACTGGTGTCAAACAAGAAAACGTTGTTAATTTCGAAAGTCCGTTAAGCTCGATTGAATCCTCCATATTTATAATGTCATATCCTAATGAAACGGAACTCAAATTAGGAAACTGTTTAATATCGAAATGATGAGTATTTGTGAACGATCCTGCACCTACGAATAGTTTTGTTAGTTTTGGAAAATCTACAACTGTAATTGAAACAAAGCTTGTGTACCCTTCAGCGAGAGTATGCTATGGTAAAAATTGTATGTATAACCCTGAGAACTCGATCCAAACACTAGAACTTCGAGCGCAGGCAGGTTCTTCAATATGAATTCTCCATCCCACTCAGCAAAGCTATAAGAACCGATCCATATTGAGGTTAATTGAGGACAGTTGAGCACACCAAAGTGACGATTAACATCTTTGGTCAGGGTATCAGGGAGAGTAATGCCCACTCTTGTAAAAGACCCTTCCAGAATCTGTATATAACGAAGCAGTTGTAATCCATCGACATGAAAGGACTTCGCGCGTGTAAAAGAATTATTATCAATATAAATATGTGTTAATTTTTGCTTTGATGATGGTTTGAAATAAGGGGCATATTTGCAGGATTTCCTTCGAATGTATAAACCACCAGTTGCTTTATAACCATTGCAGACCATAATTTCCTTATAAACGTATATTATACCTCCGATTATAGCCAAGAGCACCAAAAAAGACACTATCACTATTGTCCAAATCGTCTTTTTTGACAATTTCGTCTTTTTTCTCTCTTTGATTAATGGATTCCTGAGCCGTACAATATCGAGACTTTTTCTATTCTCATTTTCATGACTCTTCCTTTCAATTTCCGAGATTGTGGTATCTTTAAACTCTGTGACCTCGATTGTATGTTTTTTATCCTGGTACGTGCCTGTCTTTACTTCGATGGGTTGGCCATATTGAGAAACAGGGTAATTACCATTGGAGTTGTAAAAATAATAATTATCATCTTGCCGTGTGCTTACCGAGTCCACTGATATACCTCTATATGATTTATATTCCAAAGGATTCATTATTGCAGTTTTCTATTGTAAAATCGTGAGAATTCGGTTTTCACGCCAGAATATGGATTGTACATTTATTATATAATAATTCTCTATACGTGATACAGAAATGAGTCGTAGTGAAAATCAAAGTTGCATAAAGGCATTTGCTTATTTGACTTCTTTGATCATACTATACATAAGCATGCCATGGAATAAATGAAAATAGCGAAATAGTGGATTTAAATACATCTTCATTCGAAGTTTGCAGAGTTTCGTTTTTTTTAAATTGTCTTGGCTGTAACGGACTTGACACAGCTATGCTATCACAGGAAGAGTAGAATTTTGTGCTTCAACAGGCTTTGATTATACAATCTTACGGAAAAGGTGTATATTTATTCTTTTTATATTCCCAACGATATTGTGCATACTGATCTTCAGTGAGATTGATGGATTGTACTCGCCACGTTGATACTTTTGACTAGCACTGTAGTTTTTTTACCTTGTCTCCCTAATTTATTACTATGTTTTGTTTATAATATAATGGTCTAGATACCCCGGTATGACTTTGTTGTGAAAACAAAGAACGTACATACAAATCTATTTATCTTCTTATCACATTATTGTTGTTACCATTATTATTAGGCACTGTCTTATTTCTTGTATACTGATGTTTCAACATATACTTGAGTTCATTGAAGGTAAACGCTATTGAGGATTTAAATGCCAAATAAGAGAATATAAAAGCGATGATTAACGTGATGATCTAACGATATAAACAACGAATAAACAAATACGTAGTATCCTAGCTTTATTGGTTCCAAATCCATCGGCTCCTCGTTGTATCCTCCAGGATATTGCGTATTCATTAAAATAATGAGTTCAAGAAGAATTTTTTTCTTGTAATTGAATATGCAGAGTATTTTGTATAGATCATACTATATATGTGATGGAAAATGGAATCATGTCTTACCACTGCTAACAGGCTTGGTAGAAAGGTCCATAAGTAAATAGTTCCTCCTATTAGCAAAGGAAAGAAGTTTTGTTGCATGAAAATATACTACTCATAAGAATATCGCTGTTACCTTACATCCAAAATGAATAAAATAGGCATATACTCCCACCAACAAAACAGGTTTCTCACGTCTTTGTCGATTCTAGAAATAAAACAGCATTTATGTTTAAACTGAAGAGACTTGAGCTGAGAAGGAACTTGGGGAGTTGGATTGTTAACCACACCATAATTCATATTCACAGCAACATTATTTGGCTGTGCATATGACGCAGATGGCATCATACCCATAGGAACAGAAACAGATTGAGTCAAAGGCTGTTGCATGGGCTGGGTGGCCGGCTGGGAAACAGGCTGCGGAGTAACTTGAGTAGGTTGCTGAACGTTCATTCTTACTTTAAAAAAAATATGAAATTCTTCTTATATTATCATGTGAATATAGTAATTATAAACTATTTTTCGTATCCTCAGTTTATTTTATATTCTGTTATATCGGATTGTATTGTTGAAAATAGGATTTTACAGCTTTATTTATTATTCTATTCATTACAGTATTTGCCTGTGTTTATTGTAATTCGGAAGTACTTTTGCCTCATGTGATAATAGCAACACTGTAGTTTAAATCAACACTCTTCCTTTCTTGTCAATATTTAAATATATGATTCTCTTTTACATGTATAGTTTAACGTTCTTGTTTAATATCAATGAACCGGAAGGTGTTTTAAACATAGATTATAAATACTACGAGATAGACAATAAAAGCCACGTGCTTATAATTTAAATCTTCTTTATTTTTCAGTGCGTAGCAAATGCATAGTCTGTGGTATTGACCTAACCCTTTAAGAATACATGATAATTGAGCATATTGATATTGCTCTATTCAATTGTTGGGCATACATGTCTCAATTAAGTAATAGTAACCTTGCATTAACACATTGCTATATTCTTTTTCTTTGCTGGCAAGGAACGGATAACAATCGGACGTGTGTTTTTTTTGTTATAATAGGATATGCCTTTCTATCTATCTATTATGTGATATAACGTTATTCTATTGTGCAAAACAGCCTTACCATTTAAAAATAGTTTTCTATTTTACACAACTGCGAATAGTAATAAGGATACGACAATTATAGATATTACACATTATCATGGTTATGATATTTTAGAAATAAAATACATTATTGAATCACTACGTGCAAAATTGACTATCTAAGGTATATCAAAACGTTATCAATTTCGTATTGCATTTAAGTTGTAACAGATTATATGTTGTTAACAAATAATAATAACATTACAAAAATACATCTCTTCAATTCTGTGTGTGTAATAATCATTTCTATAGTTTATTTTATCTGAAGATTTCTCTTGTATTGATTATATAGCAAGTACTTTATTTGATTAGGGGTATATTCAGAATTCACTATAATACCCATAACCATAAATGATAGGCCAACAATAAACGAAATTATCTACGTATTAGTATTTTAGTAGTACTCTAAGTAATACACAATATCCT